GTCTTAAGGCCTTTCCACACTGAGCGCGAAAAAGCTAAACGAATATCGGACGTGATGACACACTGGAATAAAACAACAGATTTCTATGGATGCTTCCACATAGACCGCAAACATTCGCGCACCGAAAATGCGAATGTTTTTTTTCAAACCAGTCCAACGAATCTTTTCAGTTTCGCAAAACAAAATCACGGCTGTCCAATAAGATTTTAGCTAAGATCACGTGACCGGAGCAGCTGCTGTTGCACAAAAGGATGAGTGGTGGTGCTGTTTCGAAAACCAGTGTAAATACACATCGAACAAGAGTATCCAGGATAAGAGAAGAGAACTATGCTGATTTCTTGTTATTGTTGGTATTTGAGAAAAGATTTATTCTCACGTTCTTTATACAGAATAACATTTCTATTAATTGTCCACTGAATTATGTAATCACAGTAGAGCACCATCCGTTTTCTTCCACATGCGCGAGTGTTATGAGTCAGAGCGCGATAACTCTTTTTCTGCACATGAAATATGAAAGCAAATAGACATGATTATGATGATATATTTTCTGTATGTGTTTTGTATGCAGCTCATGGTATTTTTAAAGCAATAAAGGATGTTTATGACAAATATTAGCAGTGTAGCGTTATTAAACATACAAAGAGTGCATGTGTCTGCTTATTAATCAAAATCAACTAGCCTATAGATCACAATCGGAAGCTATTACAAGCACTCAATGATGGCGTGGGTAAGCAAATACATTAATAATTACATACATTTTCAAGTGTAGCTTGATGCTAATTGTACTTCTAATTATATTTTAGGATGTAGCCTACTCTTGTAAGCATTATAGATAGTTTGTGTTTCTGGTGTAGAACCAAAGTTTGTTTATCTTAATTTAATGCTGTATATTGAGCAGCGGACGATGTTAAATCCATTTACGAGAAACAGATCTGAGGAAAAATGCATTGTTGGTCGGCGCCACCTAGCGTGCAGGCGTGAATTAGCAGAAGGCGAACAATCGGTTCAGTGTGAAAGCACCGTTCGTTGGCGATTCGCCTCGCTTTTTTGCATCACGCTCAGTGTGGAAAGGCCTTTAATCTGTCTGACAAGATGCACAATTGAATACTTGATTTGGACGGGTGCGACGCCATGCCTTTGTTGAGTTTGTTGCATGACAACAAACTCAACAACAACTTTGTTGCCTGGTCTTGTAATGATCAGGGAACTGCAGCCGATTCTCATTGGTCATGTCATTCCCAGTGCTGATTGCTTACACAACTCTGAAATAAATACTGTTCTTAACCCTTACCTACACCATAGCCTTAACCTTAGTTTAGCATCAGCAGCACTTCATGATAGACAGTGATACTGTTTCACGTGATTGGACCCATCTATGATTTTTCTGAACTGAATTCATAACAGGCGACCACATGATTGAGTTGACCAGTGAAATCGGCTACGGGGTGAGGTTTGCACTTAAAGAATCCTGCCAATCATTCGCTGATGAACTGAAGAAGGCTGTGCTCTGTCTTTCAATGCTGAGTATAGTTGTATTAGGGGTGGGCGATATGAGCTAAAATTCATATCACGATATTTTACACTGTCCAGGCGATATCGATATTATATTGCGATATAAAAAAAAAAAAATTACAGGCAAAATATTTTAACCTTATATAACTAGAAAAAGTGAGGGATTGGACATAGACCTGAAAAGTTTTTTTTATTGTGCCATGGTTTTTCTCAAAAAGTGCAAACGTGCAACATGAGGTAGGCCTGTATGAATTAAATTAAATTAAATATTGTGTGTTTGAGTTGGCCAGTGGTTCCGAAACTTTTTCTGCCGGGCCCCCTTTTGTAGAGAAAAATATTTTCAAAGCCCCCCACCCCCTTCTTTTTTTTGTTAGGGTTAGGGTAGAAATAGAAAGCAGCATTAGTTTACTGTCATGGATTTGTCGTGTCGCGCCGCATCCACAGCAGAGAACATCACTGGGTTCTATTTGCTTTCGTCAAATCGCGCCGCTCGCGTCTGGTGTAGACACATTGTTTTGGTATTTGTGAATCTTAAGTATATTCATAATCTGATTTACGTTTACCTGGCACTGGAAGTCATTTCACAAACTTGTAACTTTTATGCTTAAAGCAGAACCATACATCGTTCATTTATATTTCTACATGGCTCCCTGCAATACAATTCTAATTCGTCAATTGTGCCATCTAGTGGTCTGTTATTAATACAACCACAACTGCTACAACTGATAACAGAGCGCTCAAGCTGGTACTGCGAGTCATGTTGAGGTCATTAAAATATGTCAAATTAATATTTTGCACTCAATTATTTACTGATCAGTAGGGATGCACCAATACTGGTCTCCTGTACTCGTACTCGTTAAAATGCCCCGATACCAAACGCCGATACCACACAGCATGTGTTATGCGCCATATTCAAACAAAGAAACACCAACAACAGAACAACAGACAGCAGAAAGGAGTTAAGGATGTCTACTACGAAGTATATGTATGCAATGAATATAACGTTAAACATTCAGTATTAACGCCTGTATAGCTGATGTGCGCGAGCTGATAAACAAAGCACTCTGAGTGGATTGAGGTGCAGATGCGCGAGCTTGTCGAGTGAATATACCTTTCTCACAGACATCACTGGAAAGCTTGTAGTTCAGTCGGATATGTCAAAAACAAGTAAGTAAAACAATGCACAAGTTAATTAACGGTAGGGAGAGAGAGAGAGAGCGCGCTATTCTGTTGTGTGGTCTTTGATGTTCGCTCACTTAGCACACGTATTATTTGGATTAAAACTAAATCGTAAAAATAAAACCATTCATAGGGGCATTCACTATAAACATCATTTATTTTCAACCTTAGGCATACACGACTTTCTGGCGAAAGTGAATCTAGCAGCCTGTGTGAAATGCGCTAGGCTGCACTATTCTGCATCAGTACAAATACCTGCACGCGTTACACTTGTTTAGCTTGCTCGAGTGTTTCTGCATTATATGAGTGGCTTTGGAAAATAAATCGCAGCACGTTTCAGATGAAAAAACACGACTTCTATTTCTGAAAATATCACAGTTCGGTGATGTATAACGAGTGGTTCCCTGCATTATTACAGCAAAGCGTGTGATTACAGTACTGAGCCGCTGCAATGGAGCAGCTCTAATGCTGTTACATTAAAGATGTACCACAGAGCAAAACAATGAACAGTGAAAGTAACAAACGTGTAAAATACATTTTAATGGCCATAATTGAGTGTGAAAATAACCGAAGGATATACAGTGAAACCAAAAATGTTTCAGAGACCAGATATAATTTTTGATATTTTTTTACTAGTGGGTGCAGGACACTATAGTTCATTTATGTAAGTGAGGATAGCAAAATAAAGTAAACTGTGATATTATACCCAAAAATTCTTCATACAGTGGACTACCAGTAAAACTGATACAAATTTGGGACCAAAAATGATTCAGACCGAGTCTGGGAATAAACTGAAGTTGAGGTTTGCATGAAGCTTTCTATCAAAGTTATCTGACATTATCAAGCTTAATTTGTTCTGACACAGTTTAACTCTGAGTTCTTGTCATATTTTATTACCATTTTCTAAACTATAGCGAATAAACTGTGATAATGTGAGAAATGTTGAAGGTGTTTGAATAAATTCTGGCTTGACCGTATCTATTTGATAAATGTTAACCAACTAACATAATACATACCCTTTTGGTTTCTGTACCCAATATTTAAAAAATGTACAAATGCAATAAAAGTATCGGTATCGGGCGAGTACTGGAAAAAGTGGTATCGGTGCATCCCTACTTATCAGACAAGTGGCCGCATGATAAGTGGGAAAATTACGTAATGTAGTCTTTATCACCCTGCAGAGGTTTATTTTGCAAAATAATCTGCTGACTGTACACGATCCCTCAGTTTGGGAACCACTGGAGCATGCGATTTGTGCTCTATTAATTTGGTCTGTTACGATGCTTTATGGATTTGATTACTAATGCCTGTGTAGTGCGGCGTTGCACACAGAGGACAAAAACGTTCAGCCTCGACTCTTTATTGTCATTTGTGTTCAAATTTGCAAAGTGTACCAAATTGAACAAAACTATATAAATGCAAAATTTGAACTCATGAATATATAACGGTATCCATGGTACAGCAAAATCCATATCATGGAACAACATAACACCGGTAGTCACTTTCATACCGATATAGCGCCCACCGCTAAGTTGTACTGTATATATGCTAGATGAAGACAAAGTCATGTTTTATAGATTTCACAAAATCTGGACTAACGAAAAGCCCAAATTTTAAAAAGTTAAATCTAAACATACCATATTTTTAAGAATATAAGTCATGTTTTTTTTTCATCTGCAACTTATATTGTGACTTATACGATGCATTTAACATGAAGCACGCAAAATATGAGCAAAGCGCACACAAATACATGCACACAACAGTTCTAGCATTGCTAACTTGAGATCACAGTCTATTCATCTTAAAGCTAAAATGCAGTCAACCAAACACAGAAAAAGTTCCACGGCTCAGTTTAAGGATGATGAAGGTTGATGTTTTACATGGATATTGGGACACAAGTGAAGTACAAACCTTGTTTACATAAAACACAGTTTAGCAAGGAAATGTTAGGCTACATCGTCAGTATGGAAACATTTGGATTTGTGCTGAATGCGAGAGGTGCATGAGTCCAACACTGGTTTCAATCTCAGTTTCGCTTTAAACAAATATGTTCTTTTATAATAGCCTAACTCCTGTTTAGAAGGAATGGCACTATAATGTGTATAGTATATAAAATGTTTGTAAACATTTCATTTAAGATACTTTACATTATTTCTGAATGTAATAATAATAACATGCGTCATGTAACTTATACACCGATGCAAATTATCTTTTTTTTTTTCTCTCAACCATGCAATTTTGGCCCAGTGCAACTTATACTCAAGGGCGACTTATTTTCTGAAATATACGCTATTTATAGTCTTGAGGGTGATGCTGGTGTGTGTTCACTTACTTGAAGGTAATGATGTTGGGGTGTTTGAGCTTGCGCAGATGTTTGATCTCAGTCTCCTTGATGTCTCGGACTTTCTTCACAGCCACGTCCTCACCATGAAACTTGCCCAGGAAAACGGCACCCTGCGCCCCGCTGCCCACCCACTGCAGCTCGGAGATCTCCTCGAATGGCACCTCCCAGGATTCTAGAAGAGACATTCCATTATCTCCATCCAAAACGACACTGAAACACCCCGACTGCTCTCCGACTGCCGTACTCACCCTCCTGGCTCTGCTTGTGCTCTGTCGAGTAGGCTTTCCCGATCATCGTCCACACTGGCTTTAGGCATCCGAACAAGCCTTCCAGAAAGCCTCCTCCACCCGCCTGCAGCCGGAAGCTGTCGGACTGGTTGCGCATGACTCCGCCCTCGGCCCCGCCCTCCTGCAGCTTGAGCACGCTGTTGGAGAAGTTGGTGGGCTCGTCGCTCAGGGTGGGGCTGTTGCTGTGGGTGTGAGTGCCGCTGCCGCCCCCCACCGGGTCGATGGAGAGCACGTTACGGAGCACGCACTGGGTCGGGGTGAGCTCGGTGTCTGGCGTGCTCGCTGGCGCCTCCGAATCGGGCCGACAGAAGGGGGGTTCGGAGAGCGGGGAGCTGAACCCTGAGAGGGACGGGGAAGGGGCATGTTGCTCATGGACACAAGCCATGGGTGCAGAAGGGGTGAGGGTAGCCCACTGCGTTACCCACCCTTAAGAAAAGTGGCCCTCACTCACTCTGTAGCAGTGCTGCTCGTCTGCACACCTGGAGAGAGCAATCACAACACAAGCCATAAGTACTGTGAAAGGGCATTCTTCTTACTGCTTAATATGAATGGCAATCAAATACCAGAGTATATTAGATATGTAGTGATTATGGTGGACTGATCACACGTGTGGATCAATACCAACAACACAAGGATGCGTTCAGGGGCCAGTTACATAAAAGGTCTAACTTGTAGACTAGTCTTACAAGTTAGTCATCACATTTTTTTCTCTAAAACTTGTCATCATTTTTTAAATTCAGTTATATAAAAGCATACATTAGTCTAAGCTGAATTCCAGAATATGACTGATGGATAACAGCTAGTTGCTCAAAATCATACTTAAGACATTGTCTTAACATAGAGGCTAAGTTTATGCAGCTGGCCCCAGGTATGCAGGAACCGCCTGAGCAAAATGCTTTCAGACTGCCAAGGCACCATAACTTGTGTTCTCAAACAAATTCAAGTTGTAAAGGGTAAAAATCAAACATTTACAAGTTAACTCAGTCCTTCCAACACCATTCTCTCCACCAACAAACATCTGCTTTTGTGTGATGTTACCGTCACACAGCAAGATAAGTCCAATATGGTGTTTATTTTGTGCCACAAATCTGTGCACACAACAGAGTGCACAAAAAGTTATTTTGTATGCATGTGGAATTTTTAAAAAGTAGGCATATTATTTGCAAAGAAGAACAAACAAATACATTTTGCACATGGAACATTTTTATCCGTGCAAGCTGATGTTCATGTTTTGAAACAATTCCAGGATGTCTGTGACTTCATAAATACAGGCTGATTGAGTTTAGCTCCAACACTAATCAAACATACCTGAACACGCTCATCAAGGTCTTCAGAATTACTAGAAGGCTACAGCCAGGTGAGTTTGATTAGGGTTGGAGCAAAACTCTGCAGGACAGTGGACCTCGAGGGCCAGATTTGAGAAGTCCTGTGCTATTGTGTAGTGCTGGGCAGTATACCGGTTCATAACGAACACCGGTGTTTATTTTTGTTATGATATTAATTTTTAAAATAGCGCAATACCGGTGTATGTCGCTTAAACAACGTTGGGAACGCGGCACTGTTTGAAAGGGGTCTCTTTTCACTGTTGCACTGCGGTGAGGGAACAGCTGTATGTGTTACTAAGCGTGAAAGTTCAGAAACTGAAGCTGTAGAACTAATAGAACGTGATGACACAGAAGAACTCATCCACAATATCCACACTGACCGCCACAAATATCCAGCGCCGCTGCCATCAGCTCCCGCGTCTCACACACACACGAGCAACTTGAGCACTAGATTTAGCAACTTTCAGACCCTTTTAGCGGCTTTTTTCCATAGAATATTCATACTGACAAACCTAGCGACTTTTTTGGATAAACCTTAGCTATGGTTCAGTTGGAAGATTTCTCCAGTGCTGTCCCGCGAGCATGAGGTCTGGCTTTCCCGGAGAAGTGTCGTCTCTCTCGGCGTCTGTTCTGTGCAGTGAGCGGCAGAGAAGCAGCGCATTCAGTTGGCCACAACGCAGCCGACTCGTCAATAAATGAGTACAAAACAGCGTTTCCAACCACCTGTCGCTTACTGATTGTTTGGAATTATAAATATGAGCGTAGTTCGTCTGTTAATATCAGATGCACTTTTTAGTGTGTTGTTGTTTTTAGTTTGTTACTCAGACGCAGGCAGTGCGCTGCATGAGACAAAAAAGTAATCTAGCCAAAACAACCGCATGTCCGCTCTTTAGTGTAGATGCATGTTGATTTTATCAGACGATGCTGTGATTATAAATGAGAGTGACTCCTGGTTAACATGTATTAAAAGCAGTCGTGTTTAGTCACTATTTAGTGTGGTATTTTTTGACAATATTCACTCATGACAGTAAAATAAGTCATTCTAAGTCAATATATTGCAGTATTTCCTCTCAATCAGTAGAAAATATGGTTAACACCCGGTCATGCATGAAAAAAAAAAAACCTTCATGTACCGTGAAACCGGTATAATTTTGAAAAATACCGTGATATAAATTTTCAGTCATACTGCCCAGCACTACTATTGTGTACTACAGTGCCGCACATTTTTCCAGTTCTGGAAGTAATTTTCCGACTGGAATTTTTAAAAAAAACTTCTTCTTCGTTAAAGAGTTATAAGCCATGAATCAAACTAGCCTGCTACAAGGAGAATAACAGCAAACTTTGATTTGAAGCAAAAAATCTGACAAAAAGACGAAGGTCCCAAAGAAGCATTGTGAATGACATACATCAGTGCTTCATGGGAGCAGGCGGAGCAAAAGAGCTCTTTTGACATGATTTGCTTGTAGTGATTCTTTGATTGGTGGAGAGCTCTCTGCAGAATCATGGGTAATATAGTTTTTCACCAGGAAATCGGCTGTTAAACACAAACTTAAATAACTTTGTAACGTAGTTTGTAGATTGGGAAGAAGGAGGCGGGAACCGGCGAACATTTCAACAAAACTTTAATAAAATAAATAAACACAAAACAGCGCGACAGCCCCTCGCGGACGACTGTCGCGCACAAACAAAAACCAAAACACAAAATAAACTCCAGGCCTGGTCCTCTCTCGTCTTTCACTGTCGTCACTCCTCCTTTTATCCTTCCGGAGCTCCTCCATGAGACTCGAGACCGGTGAGTGGTGCAGGTGTCGCTCATTATCAATTACTCCACCGGCCTCGCTCCGTTCCCACGGCTCTCGGCCCCGCCCCCACTCATCACATACCCCCATCGCCCCTCGCAGGCCGGGGGGTACTCACGAGACTGCGCTCTCCCCCCCCCCCCCCCCCTCTGGGGGAGCCGATCACGGCGGCTGCGGTGTACCCGGGGGTATGGACAGACAGCCGAGGCGAGAGAAAAGGAGACGGAGGGATGAGGAGAGACAGATACGAGAGAGGGGAGAGAGGCAAAGAAAAAAAAAATTATCGGTCCCACTAAAGTAAAGTGGCAGCCCCTCGCGCACGACTGCCACACACAAAACACAAAATAAACTCCAGGCCTGGTCCTCTCTCGTCTTTCACTGTCGTCACTCCTCCTTTTATCCTTCCGGAGCTCCTCAGTGAGACTCGAGACCGGTGAGTGGTGCAGGTGTAGCTCATTATCAATTACTCCACCGGCCTCGCTCTGTTCCCACGGCTCTCGGCCCCGCCCCCACTCATCACAAACTTATTTAACAAAAAGTTATAACAACTATTGCCTGTTTCATACTGCACCACTGACTTGTTGGGTTTCACACTGGCCTCTGCTGTGAGACAGAGTTACGGCTCTACACAGAAAATCAAGTTACTTCTGGGATACAACAGCAAATGTCATCTTTAATAACAAACATGTACATGACAACGATGACCACATTTACATCGCAACAGTAAAGAATCTAGACCGAACTCACAGGGTATTGGCTGCTTCAGCAGTTCACTTTCTTACTTTTCTCATTTTCTAGAGTTGAGCAAGAGCCACGCACAAAAGCAGGCACAAACTAGGCTATCTGCTCACGCTGCCAGTGTGAAGACTGTAAATATGAGCACCGGACTGAAGCATCTTTGCTTACGGTGCATGTGTGATCTATAGGCCTATAGCAGCAGTTCTCCACCCTGCATTGCACATTTTGGATGTCTCTCAAATCAGCCGTGAGCTTAAAGTGGGAACTCTGGAGGGAGCAGGACAGTTGTGGCTCATATTGCGGAGAAATAAAAGACAACGTCATTTCCTCTTTATCTTCACAAGGAATGATATCATGACAGCACAGAGCGGGGCCCATCAATCTATTAGCTGTTCTCACAATAGCAGTCTCTCGTTATTTGCTGTTAACTAACATGTCCACTAAACACATATCTTATCTATGGTACATAATTCATAACATAACCACATATGATGAAAAACAGTGAAATATATCACAACAAAACAGCTTGAATTATTCAACTTTCAAATTGTATTCAAAATTTCGGTTCTTATTCAAATTTTTATGCAAACTTAAACTCTCCGCTAGTCAGCTTTAAAATGAATCGCAAGCACTGGGTCACATGATCATACATGGTCAACTTTTTAAACAATATCTGACAGATTCAAAGCTCCTGAATTCTTCACTGCAGACATTCTTCGCCACTCACAATACGACACTGCAGCTTCAAAATACTTGGGATGCCACTGTATTTGTTAAACGGTAGTATTGTCAATCCAGCACTAGCATATGTAATGTTGTATGTGCGGCCTGCACACTATTTAAAGGGTTACCTGCTTGTCTGCAACCCCTTACAAAAGAGTGCAGCAGCAGCCTGAGCAGAATTCACACCTTATACAGCGAGTGTTTCCCAACACTTCACTTCATTCTGCAATGAGACGCCATTGTTCGCACTACAGTTCATCAGGAGAAAGGCACTGAAAAGATGTTAAACATTAGCAGCACAAACATGACTTTTCTACTTTCTATAAGGATGTATTCTGTCAGTTGGTCCGTTGCTCATTTTCCCGCTTCTGGAACAGGTGTAATTGTTCGTTTATACAGCAGTCTTTGCGATGACGAATGCAATTAACATAAGTGTCCATTTGCATTCAGTTCTTATCATTCATTTCTTGGGGAAGTTCATGCAGGCCAAATCTGCGCAGGTTTAGCACAAATACTGAACTCGTGAGACATCATGATATTATCGAGTATATTGCAAAAAACAAACAAAACACACCTACAGAAGCACGCATACGCGACGTGATGAAGACTGGTTAGAGTAGACCAACACTGGCTTTAGTGCGCGTGCACATTTAGAGTGCACTCTTTCACTGCATGATTCAGTCTATTAATATGCATTAACAATGATCACATACTTCAACATAAGGAGGCAGAAAATTTATATATTTATATCAGCTCATATAGTTAATCAATATCACACGAAGAGTGCCGTTTTTTCTTTAAAAAATCAGCATGGTTACAAATGTGATATTGATTTTATACAACAGTTTAATAAACAATAAGTTAATATCAAGAGACTTACATTTTAGACACCATATTGGCTGTTTTTGTGTTATTTCTGTGCTATTTCACCAATAAAAAACATTCCAAACACAGTCACAGCACTGTTTTGCGTCTCTGAGCAACACGATGGTGTTTCGTTCCTGAATGAATCAACCGTTTAAATGATTCGGTTCAGTCGCAATGACTGACTTAACAGTGACTTGCTGCCACCTACTGGCGGTTTTAATTTCACATTTAAAGTATCTTTTCATTTTTTAAATAATTTCAAATATCAGTATTCATAATTTCATGTTTAAAATATCAAAACATTATTCATGCATTTGTAACTGCAGGTTAAGCATCCCATGTCCCTCTGAGCTGCATTAACGTGTAAACGCATCTAAATGCCACTTCATATGCAACTTCTGCAAAGATTAATTTTATTGATACTGATTTAATTGATTTAGTAACAGCCTAAATGTATTATTATTATAATTGACTGATTAAATGTAAGAATTTGACTCAAAATATGATGTACACTTTTAGAAAAAAATGGCTTTATAAAGGTAAAAATGCCCATAAAAGTTAAAAATCAATTTAAACTTATTGGAAAAGATTAATTTCTATCACTGATGTGAACTGACCACACAGAATATGAAGAATATAAAAAACTTTAGGAGTCAGCTGTCCACGGTAGTCCTTAAGATATCAGCACAATAACACACTCAGCTAAATATCGTCTAATTATCTTTATTGATAAAATCACAGAAAATATTGAGATATTATTGTTTGTCAATATCACACACCCCTAGTACTGACACAATGATTTGCAATGGTGCAAAGCCTCAAACTGCTGGTCTATTTCTGTCTTTTTATGAATGGCCGGTAACTTAAAAATGTAGAAGCCAAATTGGCTGGTGAGTGAAAAAGTGAATTTCAATCCCTGGTCATAATCATATCAGTGATTTCAGCACTATTGTTTTCTGTGATAGTTCAGCGATATGACACATTGCACATGTGACTGATTTCACACAGCAAAAAGTTCAAATTAAATGACATTTTAGACACAACTTATTACAACATATTATAATATTAAGAGTTCTAGCGATATATAGCTGACGGCCCCCCTGCGGGATCACTGAGGGCCCTCGGTTGGGAACCACTGCTATAGGTGATAGAGCTGGGGCCCCATGAGGAGACGTGCATGCAGTAGTCTTAACATTAATGCTTTTTGTTCCTTTGGTAGTTGACGTTCAAGTTTGAAATATTAAGCCAAGACAATGTTAAATCATTATCCTAATTCTACAATAAATCTGTTATGCATATAGTTTTGAGCTCACATTAATCCTTTCCAGAGCACCTGAATATGCACTACATTCTAAGCCAAACCCCTGGTGTTCACGGACCTGCTATTTGTCATTTACCCACAATCCCACGGGCTGGCCCTGCTTACTGCAAACCCATCTATTGTGTATCTGCATGAAGTGTACTCGGAATATGAGCGCGTCGAGCGGAGAACACCGCACTTCTGCTCGCGCTCGCTGCACAATATGGCACAATTGCATAACAGACGCGCGCGTGCGGTCCTGAACGGCACGGTTGTTGACGCGCGTCGTTGTGCGTGCAGAGTCGAAAACATCGCGCAAACGCACGCGACTGGCGCGCCGATGAAAGCGCAGTAATGGACGCGCTCGTTCAGATGTGATGTCATTGGCGTCCATGGCGCGTGAGGACAGGATGCGCTCCCTCCATCACACACACACACACACACACACACACTCTCTCGCATCTCTCCCGCTGGCGTTTAAAGCCGCTCTCCGTGCTTCACGCGCTCTCCATCGCGGAGCTGCTCGCTTCATACTCGGCCAGCAGATGCTCGGGCAGTAACGTTACCGTATCTCCGGAGGATGCTGATGTGACGGGTGGCCCCGGTGCTGTCCTCTCGCCTCTCCTCCGTCTCTAGGCTCGGCGTGGTCTGGTCCGGTCCGGGTCGAGCCCCATCGGCTCCATCAGTCGAGCGGAAGGAGCTGTCTCTCCTCCACGGTGCTGAAGTGACGTCATGACGCCCCGTGACGTCAGAGCCACGTACAGTGGATGTACAGTATGTTCAGAGATCCTGAGAATAACAAGCCTACTCCTTCTCTGTTTGTAAAGCAGGTTGCCACCAAGCCTGGCTCTATCGCTTACTGGACTACACTTGCTGGAAAGCATTTGGTTATTACCTCTTTTTGTTACAAACAATACAAAAAGATATCTGTTTCAAAATAATTCATAATAAATTCTATCCTGTTAAACATTTTCTCAGTAGGTTTGAGAAGGATATTGATGTTAATTGCTCTTTGCACGTGGAAACTGTACCCCACGTCTTCTGGCGCTGTAGTTATGGCGTGATGTCTCTACACTGTAGAAAAAAATCCGTAAAATCTACAGTAAAAAAAACAGCAGCTGTGGTTGCCGGAAATTTACCGTAAAAAATACGGTAGCGACATTTTAGGTTTTAACTTAAATTAACAGTTAAATACGGAGTTGGACAATCACTTGTGTACTATTCAACATAGTACTAATAGAAAGTTTATTTGTGTTCATTCTTCAGAATCTTTGAGTAATGTAAAGGTCATGCATGTCTCTGATTGTATTTTTATTTATTTCTTCTCTGTTTTCTTTTATCCTTTATTACCCTGGCTTTATAACTGTTTTGTATCTGTCGTTTAAAGCATAATAAAAATAAATACATAAAAAGTATGTTCGGAGATCTGTCTATGACCTGGTGAATTCATATTTGAAAGCGTTTAGGATGGTGTTTTTTAGTCAGGGTGTGCAGAAACGCTACGTCGATAAAAGTGATTCATATCAAATTTGCTCCAGTGTGAAAATAATATAGCTTATATTATAAATAAATTCTAAATACGTCAATTATAAATAAATAAACAAACAAAGAAATTGCATGTTTGTCTATCGCGTGTGCATTATTAAGTTTTTTTTCTTTGTATTGTGGTTTAGAACAAACTTTTCTGTTAAATTCATATTTAGGGCACTGTTAAACCCCTATCTGGAGCTCTCAGTGTGACTCCATGCATACATGTTTACATTTAAAGTCTAAAACATTGACCTCTCTGACCTGTTCAGCAAGGCATTAGTCCACGCTAAACCAACAAAATAAAGTTCAGTTCAGCTCTGGAGTCTCTCCAGTTTGTTTCTTAAATCACTCGTCTATTTCCATGGCACCTAGAAACACTGACATTAAACACGCGGGCCTATTAATTCTTCCAATAAAACAAACATGTTTATGTAAAGGGTGCTGCGCAGTTAAGCACAGATGTGTTCAGTGAAGCACTCATAGCTGTGCTTAATACTACACTGTAGAAAAAAATCCTTAACATTTATGGTAAAAAACAGCAGCTGTGGTTGCCGGAATTTTACCATAAAAAATACGGTAGCAACGTTTTAGGTTTTATGGTTGTAACATTTACGGTTATTCACTGTAAATTATACGGTCTTTCTCCACTTCCAGAAACGGTATACTACCATAAAATTAATGTCCAGTACATGGAATGTCCAAGTACAGTTTTTCACCATATATAGTAGGGGAATTTACCGTTAACCATTTAACAGGTTTTTACTGTAGCATTTTTACAGTCTTTTACCGTTAAATTCACGGTATTTTTTACAGTGTAAATAAAACACTCCTACTGACCAATCAGCATCACGGACTGTAACTATCCATTTCATAAGTAGATGTATAATGGGATGTGGTGTAGAAGGGAGAAGCGCTGATCCTAATGTTAAAACTCACAGTTTTAGTGTTTGTCCCTTTAAATGCAAATGAGCTGGTGCTCCCGCCTCCCTTTTCAGAAGAGTGCGGAGCTTCAAGAGCTCATGCTCGCGGGCATACCGGTGTTACGGTTTAACTGGTGGTGGCCGTGTTACTGACCCCACATTGCTTCCAATCGCAATTTTTAACTACCACATTCCTATTGACGATCATTCTGGTAGCACGTGAAGGCAGCATCAGTGAAAACAGGCGAAGACAATGGTAGCTTTAGCAACATTAGCCTTACGGAGAGCCAAGAAGCTCTTTTGGAAAACAAAATATGAGGCGTGATGCTTACTTTGTCTGGAGTATGGACGTTTGCGCACGAAGCGTTGGTATCGATCCCTCTTTCAGAAGCAATCTTTGCACAACTCCAGCGCTGAACTGACCCTCGTTTGTGAGGCAGTCCGGCATAAAATGATTAGCACAAAGTATAGGACTTTTCAGTTTTTTCCCCCGGTACATTTACTTCGAATATGAATTTTAACCACCGTGTCCTCAGCGGTCTATGGAGACTCCTATGTTCGTTGGTGCATCCCAACACACGACACTTTTAATGGCTCTTTGGCGCTGACATTGTGTCTCCAGCAGCTACAGCAAGAAAACAGTAATGGCGAACCGCTGCTTCTCACTCAGGGCTGCGTATATGCTAATAGGGCAGAGAGCGTCACAAATGGGCGGGACTTCTCCCGAGTATGAGGTCATAGTAGTGAGAAATCTGGAACTGCTCGTGTGGAGAGACTGTTTATGATTTATTGGGATTATAAAACAATGAGTGGGTGGATTTTTACCATTATAGGCTGGTTGTTTTCACACTGCGGCCACACAACTGTGTTCAAACACCTTATAAAAGTGATTTTTGCATTCTATGGCACCTTTAAACATACAATAAAATCATAATTATGTAAAATGTGTTTTAAATAAGTACACTTATTTTGATATATTTATCAATACACTAAAGCACATGTAAAATAATTGATTTTAATTTCAACTTAAGTGTGTTCTCCAAAATCACATTTGTTAATGTATTTTAAATGTATTTAGTCTATAATATATACTATGTGCATTAATGCACTTGAACTGTATTTTTCTTCTAAACTTCAGTACACTTTCTTATACAGTATACTCCAATAAAACTTATTGTTGACATTTTCATCACCAGCTCCTGCGCTATGAACTCTATTTCATAGAGTCTATTACTCCAAGTTAAATTTTTTACATACTATTTGACATACAGTGTCATGTATGAGAGTACTGTATTTGTATGTAATAGTACTGTAATTTACATCTGAGTACAGAATACTTTCAATATTATTATGTTGTTCTAAGTCACTTAAACACACATTTAAGTGCATTAATTGCAAGCAGAAGTTTAACAAATCTAAACAAAATTAATTTGCATTCAGATACATTTGATTTTAATGAGACTAGGCTACACAGCACTGTAAAATAATGATTTACTTTTAGTTTGGTGAATGAGTCATGAATGAGTCTAAACATAGTCTTTGGTCTAACTACACAATCATTTACAACAGCTTGAACTTGAACAGAAATGGAAAGCTTGAAATAACATTTAACCATGCCCATGCACAAAGTATGTTGTTAAATGTGCATGCGCCAAAAATTCTACGTCATGATGGTGCACTACTTCAGCAGAGTTTGAAAAATGCGCTGTTCGCCATGTTTCTGTTAACGAGATGCGTGAGGGAACTTTGCTGATCAAACAAGAAGAGAACAAAAACGTTTGGATAATTACAGATGAGACAATGTACTGCAGATAATGAATCAAGTAAGTATATCTTGATATAAGCTTTCTTTATTCTTATCTTAGTCTTGCCATTCGTGCGGCTTTCACCGTAACCCGGCAGTTCTTGCAATATGGACTCGGGAGGTGAATTAATCGTGTCCTATGACTGCATTATAATAATTTCTTATATCGTAATGTGATAGCGTGTGTGGACAAAGAAATGTGGCTACTGAAAATACAATATTTTATTTTAACTAAAATATTTAAAGTTCAATATAATGTCACTGAACAAAATTCACAGATCCGATCTTGTCCTTTTTAATATATATAATCGATATTATAACCACCAGTAATATTCAATGTATCAGCCACCTCTAGAAATAATGTTGTTTTTTCTTTTTTGCATTTGAAGAGTGAGATGTTCCGTTACTGCTTGTGTTTGTAATGTGTAATATTGTTGTACTTATCTGGAGTTATTCATTCATTTTGCAGGATCAGTACAGTTTTGTTACTGGAGATTTGTTACAGTGTGGAAACACAGACCAGTACTGAAGAGGTGATGTTAGAAGTTTTTAATGAATTGTTGCCCAGTCAGCTCACCCTGATCACACATTATAAGCTAAAGGTGCCATTAAGTCACTATCCCTATGGATTTTAAATGCATTGAATCTTTTCCATTTTCAAGTAATATATTCCCACCTGTGCATTTACAGACCCCCCTCTAATCATCATATATTTTACAGGTAACAAACCAAAGGAAGGGGGCTTCAGCTTTGCTGTACCAGCCATGGTAAATACAGGAACATCCTTCATGAAGATGTGCGAGAGAAGCTTGCAAGGCAAGTTGAGAAAAAAATTTAAGGTACCTTTCTTTATTTGCATGGATTTTGGGATATTTATCTATATTTGGATAATTGATAAAGTTATGTTTTATTCCCTGTAAAGCAGGAATAATAAATGTTTGTAAAAATGTTGTCTATTTTTAAAGCCCAGTGTCAGTGAAGATGGTGTGGTCAGGAATTCTGCTGTTTATGGGAAATCTGAACGATCATCTCGCAGCTTTCTACTAAGACGATGTTGCCCTGATGATTGAGGTAATTCACCTCTTAGGTGACGCAGATGTGGTCAAAAGTTTATATACACCTTTGCGGAATAAACTGCTTCATCAGAGCAGAAATTGCCATTTTTTATGATTCTACCCCTCTACCCTCTTACTGCTTAAATTAATCAAATTTAGCAGATACTGCAAGGTGTATATAAACTTTAGACTACAACTGTGTCTATTGTTTTCATTAAACTGAACTATTAATAATGACTGGATATGTTTTATAACAATTGTTATTCTTCTGGTTTTTTTTCTTTTCTTTCCTTAAGGGAGTTTTTAAGACTTTCCTGCCTCTTTGGAACATTTCAATTAAATTAAATTCAAGTTTATTTGTATAGTGCTTTTCACGATAGAAATCGTTGCAAAGCAACTTTACAGCAAATTAAGT